AATGAATCAACGACATTCTTGATTCGAACAATTAATATATATTACCACCTCTAACTTAAATTTGGTATAATGGGCAAACAAGCTGAACTAAACTAAAACGATTTTATTTATGGAAAAAAAGTCATAAAAAATCAATGACAATGAGGTAAAAATATTTACATATTTAACAAACACGTTGTTATTTTTTATATGACCTGCGAAGTTTCTTTCTAGAAATGGAAGGTGATTCATTATTGTTCAATTTTTCTTCGACATTTGTTGATGATAAAGTTAGCGTAACAACACTATTATAACTAGATTCGTTGTTGTTGGCAATGTTTTTTTTAGTTTTCAAATTGTTGCTGCTAGTATTATTGTTATCATATTGTTGTTTTTTCCCAAACATTTTAAGATCCGCAGCGAACAAAACCTGATAATCAGAGGTCAAAAAAAATTTTTTAAAAAGCATACGCAATAAAGAGAGTTATTTTTAGAAAAAGAATTTAGAGTTTAGTCATTCATACTAGATCTAGATAATGAATGGGAAAAAATAAAGATAATGCATGCATGACAAATCAAATGATTGACTAGACATTTTCTATTTTTGTCATATATATATATATAGTAATAGGTAGGTTAGTTACCGAATGAGCCCATCCGCTATAATCTCCAAATAAATTTCTAAAATGATCGCCAACCAGTTCGTACAACCGATTTGTTAAGTTTTTTGAAGTTTTTGAAGCAAAGCCATAATCACGTTTAGCGATCTGCCATACATGTGTGTCTACAGGTATAGAATTATGCTTGTCTAAAGACATTAAACACTATCGGAAAAAAAAATTTTAAAATTAAAATTAAAAAATTGTGTTCATGCATTTACAACACACACACACATATATATATAGATGTAAAGTTTTATGTTTGTAAGGTATGTAATGTACGTATGATCAACACATGGAATTTTATGTGTAACATTACTCATGAGTACAAACTTACCACACAATCGGCAACTTTTGGACCAACCTAAATTGAAACAATAGAATTAATTTATGATAACAATAATATACTTACTACATATTATTAGATTAAAACATCGAAGCTTACACCGGAAAGTTGTAGTAGAGGTAACAAACATCCAGGTTATTAGTAATGGTAAATTGCTATTAGTAATGGAAACTTTATCCAAAAATTTTTACCCTTTTAAGCATATAACATTTTCCTTCTTTACCCATTTTAGTATATAACATGTCAAATAAAGCTTTACACATATGAGATATGTAACTTCATACGTAATCATTGAAAAAACTATCCAATATTTTTTTATCTAAAAATTATATTAATATAGTTGTTGTTGATGTTCAATTATTAATAAACTCATATCTGAATCTAATATAATGAATGTTATTATTCCAAGATAAAATAAACATTATTATGAAAAAATAATATTGTCAATAATTTATTACAATGCTCCACATGTTAGATTATAAAAAAAACCGCCGTCTTTCGGCTTTAAAAAAGGGGAGTCAATTCATGTAAAAAAAATTTGAAAAAAAAATTTTTCATGGATTTTTTTAAATTTGAGAGTTATGTTCAATACGATAATAATTTTCGTGTTATACAAAGCTCGTTAAGTTCATATTCGATAAATTCATAATCGCCTAAATTCATAATTTTTTCAGGAACCAATGTCAATTATATTAAAATTCTATCGATAATTTCATAATCATAATAAAATCATTGATAATCGGTAAAATCATAACACTTTTACTTTTATTATGTGCTATCATATAAAAAATCTTGCTCTTTAAATTCGTATCTCTTGTAACAATTAAAATATTACTATTACGTAAGTAGTAAATTCAAAAATTTTTCCCTTGTTAATATAAAAAATGAATTCAAGTTTATTAAGCGTAGAAATATAGATGATAATAAGATTTCAATTGACAAAAAACAAATTTATTTTTTCTTGAAAGCGTAGAATTTGCGAAGAGCCTTTAGCTAATAAATAATTGGGAGTTTTTCATAATTACAATAAATTTTTTTACCAGAAATCTCATCTTTTTATAGGAAAAGTTCTAAAGGCATATATTTCTATTCCATTATATCATGAATTTAAAGAGCGACTCTCGATAATGTCATAATTCGATAAATTCATAAAATTTGTTGTGGTATTTTAACGAGCGTTGACTGTATTTTGGATTACATCACCAAATTTGATAATGATTTTTTTATTGTTATTTATTTCCTTTTTTTTATTAAATCAACATACATTGTTTTCAGTAATGCAATTATTGTCATTCATCATTGCTGTATTTATTATTTAAATTTAAAACAATGAATTTTGCAACTATAAGTTATAAATTTTTACTTCAATATAAAAATATATAAAGCTCATGAAATGCAAGTACTAATTTTTGTATAATGAATTTTAGATGCAATTTCTTATGTGTCTCATAGATTTGTTTGGAACTTAGCCAAAACTATTCAATGCAGAAGATTTAAAAAATATTTTATATTTAATATCTGATATTCAATGAAAGAAAGACTGGTGGTACCTTGATGAACTTATAAATGAATTGGAAATAAAACTGGGGAAAGAGTATCAATACTAACATTAGAGATCAAATCACTTTATTTTTTATGGGATCACAAGAAAAAAAAAAAGTAATTATATACCTTTATTTGTCAAATAATCATTTTTTTACATTTAATAGTTTGAAAAGGCAGCAAAAGCAATAGTGAAATTTTGAGATATAAAATTAGAATGAATTTTTGGCCTTAGAAGCTAATTCTTGCTGATGCATCACTAAGAATGAATGTCCATTTTCACATATTTCCTAATCAGAAGTAAAAGATACACAGTTTTACTTTGGATGTAATTATTGGAGTTATATAATGCAATAAGGAAAGGTTCTAGCAAATTATTTATGAATTAAACTTTTTTCTTTACAAGAGATTGTTTATTACCACCATACTCATATTCAAAGTTCATTTTTTTGGGGGTGCATAATAGTACACCAGGACACACTCCGACCACAAAATTACACTCCTAAAACTTTTCGGTTTTGATTTTATTATTAATTGAAGGATTTATGTTTTTATTGCAACTGCATAAAAAACTTAAAAGTTTTTTGGATCACAATAAAACATTTTCTGCAAGTAAATATGTACCAATAAAACAAGAAATTTTCAAAGGAGTATCTACGTCACAACGTAAGAAAAAAAGTACACATTAACTTTTCCTCTGTTAAATTTGATTAGATAATAATGCTACACCGACAAAACGCTGAAAATACGACTATCTTATACTAAAAAGTGAATGTATGGGTTTTTGGTACCGTGGTAAGAATCACCCTGTTTTATTATGGTTAACCAATGAAATTCAATTACAGTGTCACACACACGAATTTTATTGGTCAATACCAATTGAAGATCTTACATTGGAACATTCCAATAGCATTACAATGTTCCAATTGCACAACACTGCGGGTTTTATGTCTCAGGTTTTGATTTTTGAATTTGGAAATAAAAATAAGTTATTTGCTTTTATTTAAAAAATACATTGATTAATCGATAAAATATAATTATTATTACAAAGAAAAGCACACGTATCATTGACCAAATTACATTTTTTTAATATCACTGGTATCACCAGCATCAGCATCACCACTAATTTCTAATGACCTCAAAATTGCTTCTCTGATTCCTTTATCCTCACACTCGTCAGCATCAGCATCAGCATCGCCACTAATTTCTAATGATCTCAAAATTGCTTCTCTGATTCCTTTATCTTCACACTCGTCAGTATCAGCATCAGCATCACCACTAATTTCTAATGATCTCAAAATTGCTTCTCTGATTCCTTTATCCTCCTCACACTCGTCAATTTTTTGATTATTATTACTCTCATCTTTAGAAATAATCATAGCATAATCTAACAATTCATCATCTGTTAAATCTAATAAAGGCGAAAATTTATTTAGAAATAAAATAGATTTTTCTTTTTCTATACGTTCTTGTTCGATCAGTTTCTTTGACTCTTTCACATCGTTTTGTAATTCGATTCTACCTATTTATTTTTTAATAATAAACGTTAATCATTTTCCAATATCAAATAAAATAAGTAAATACAAATATATGTAAGTTAAAGAAAAAAAAATTACTTAGATATTTGGGTGTTGTTATTGATGTTGACTTCTTTTTTTGTTTAATTTGATTTGCTATTTTGATGTAAACAATAAAATAATTTAACAACATTGATGAAAATCCAATGAGATTGATATTAATATTAAATAACATACTTGAGCCAGTAGCAGATGTAAAATCCCAAGAATTTATTGTACTACCAGTACTGAATACTATTTGATAATCTTTCGAATAAATGCAATTTACAGCTAATTCTCCATCCAATAATCGTGTCTGATATCTATTCGGTAATCTTTTGTAACTAAAACATTCATTTATCGATTCGTTGATTAAATAGAGTCAGGTTTAAAATTAAAATTAAAGAAGTAAAAACAAATATTTAGGTGATTATATTATTACTTTTGATTCAATGTACGAATTAAACATGAGGTTAAAGGTTCCCATACACTCACACTGCCGTCAGAACTAAACAATTAAATGATGACTCTATTTTAGTTGTAAGACAAATAAATATATTTGAAAATGGGTTGAATTAATTACCTGCCAACCAGTAACTTGAAAGCATCAATATGGAGAGATGTGATAGGTGACAACAGATTATTGTTAAAAATTCTAAAATGTTTGCATATAAATATTAATTAAATGAATTAAATATACAAAAAAAAAAGATTTATTAAACAAATTTAATCAAGAATTTTTTATAAACAATACCTTAACGGCTTAGTAAACAAACATTCCTGATTGCTATCATTATTATTGTTATTTCCGTCATCTTTATCTTTTCTATTTCTTAAACCCACATCCCACAAACATACAGTACCAACAGAATCACCACTTGCAAGAAGATTTTTTGATGATACTAAAGTTTTCTCAATAATGTCATTACAGTTATGATTACCGCTATCATCTCTAACAACATCTTTATCGTTAGGTGACTCGTCATGCAAATCTACTGTTGTACATGTTATATTGGCAAAATGACCTTGTTTAAATATGGTGATGCATTTTAAAGTTTTCAAATCGTATTTTTTAATTTCATAGGAATTTTTGTATGTAACTATTATAAACTCCATTTGTTCGTGATAATGTATTGACAAAATTTCATTTGATTCATCGAAATTATCATTAATTATCATATGTGGAATTTCTGTCTGGGAGTTATTATTATTATTTTTCTGAAATAAACCAGTTGCATCAAACCACCATATATGAATAAGGCCATTTTCTGTTCCTGCAATCAAGCATTTTCGAGCATTCCATTTTATAATGGTAACCTTTGAATTATCTTCAAAATTAGAGCCTTAATTTTTTTAAAAACAATAATAAAAAAAATACATAATTAAAAATTAAAATAAAATAACTATAACTTATTAACAGATTATTATTAGAAAAAATTTCTTACTGGTTCTGAAATTTTTGGTACACATTAATTTACCAGTGTCCCATAGCTTTACCACACCATCTGAACTACCACTAACTACTATATTGTCATATTTTCTGTCCCGAGCCAATGAAGTTACACATCCTGAACGAGATCCATAATCATAAAGCTTTTTATAATATCTTTCTGAAGCATTTCTATTCATAAAAGTAATTCCAATTTCACCAGTTTCGTAACCCCAAAGAATTTGATTTCTTTATTATACATATATATATATATAGTTTTATCAATTTTATGATGTTTTGAAATTGGTGATATATATACATATAATGAGTGGATAGTTAGATGGATTAAAAGAAAAAAGATCACAAGTGGAATATAAAATAATAAGAAATGGACGAAATTAATGAATAATTTATGATGGGAGATAAACCCATCTTATATATTATATATATCAGAAAAAAAATTAGTAAGTAAATAATTAAAATAATATATATATACGCATATATAAAGGTTTTACTAATAAAGATAATTTTTAATTATTATTCTTACCTATCAACTAACAAGGCAGAAATTGGACGAACAATATTTCCACTTGTAGATATTAAATCTTTATTTACTTTTCCAGTTTTTGGGTTACACCTTGCAACTATTCCTATTTTTTTAATCAAAAACATATAAAACATCAACATCATAGCGAAGACGGATGAAATCAATAATCACTGCAATCAATCGTATTTCTAACCTCTATCTGATGATCCTGTCAACATCCAAGAATTATCAAAATCAACATACAAATCATCAATTTTACCAACTTTTGTATCAAAACTTATTAATGACCCTTTTCCTTTTTTCCATTTTCTATAAAATATATATTATATGAATAGCATCATCATTATCATATACAATAATAATAATATAATCAGAATTATTAAAAATTAAATATATACCTGAGCAAGTTAACTCGAGCAATATATTCATTTTTCCAACTATCTTTAGTTAATCTCCTATATAACAAAATCAAGTAAATAAATAAAAGGTTGTTTAGTCAATTAGTCGCAATAATAATGACGAAAAGATAAATATATTACCTAAATGGAGCACATCCAAAAAATCGTAAAAATGCATTTCTCCAGCAATTATCATCGCTTATCACGAGTCTCCAGTGTTTACAAACTCGAGAAGCTTTGCTCTTTTTGTTTTTGTTTTTGTTTTTATAAAATGATGATTAATATGGAGAGGTATATATTTATTAAATATTAAAAAAAAATTCGATTCCCGATACTTACCAAAATTATCGGATCGAGATTTGAAAAAATGTATGAAAGAATTTCCACTGCTATTTCATTTATGAAACATCTCCCACTATTGACAAATTAATTATTATTATGAGTAAATTACTACTAATCGTTTGAAATTTCAAGAGATGTAAATAATAAATACTTTTTGGGTAGAATATTAACTTTTTTTCCTTTATTCTTGAATTTGGAATAATTTAGTTCCATGATTATTTTTAAAAAATAAATAAAAACATTTGATTTACTGAGTCATAATTGATAAACAACCTTGGTGTAACCAATTACTATTACAAATAAGTTGATCGATCGCCAGTGCTAGGATGGTGGACATTTAGCAATTTTATCGATATCTAATGACACTTACAAAATTAGATTCGAAAGGTTATTCGCCAAGAACTATAATAATTGATAATTATGACTCTTATACCTTTAATTTATTACAACTTTTGAACAATACTGAAAATGTTATCGTTATTAGAAATGATCAATTTTCTTGGTAATGTTTGATGATTTTCAAAAATTTTTTTTTTAAAGGAATAATCATGTTAATTTTTTTTTTGCTTAATAAAGGACTGAATTTGAACAAAACATTCTACCACATTTTGATAATATTATAATATCTCCAGGACCAGGAAGTCCCGAAAATTCATCGGTAATATATTATTTGATATTTATGTGTTGGAAATAAATATAAATTTTCCAATCAATATATTAATTAAAAAAAAATTAGGATTTTGGTATTTGTTCAAAAATTCTTAAATTAAATAACATCCCAATACTTGGTGTATGTTTAGGACATCAAGGAATCGGTTATGCATTTGGTGGAAAGGTAAAACTTTGCTTAATAATATATATCATCTAAAATAATTTTATTAAACAAAAATTTATATTTTTGAATTAGATTAAAAATGCTGAAAAGATTATGCACGGAAGATCAAGCCTTATATATCACGATGGTGGAGATGGCGACATTTCCTTATTTTCTGGAATACCGAATCCATTTTGGGCAGTTAGATATCATAGTTTAGTCGTTGATAATGAAAGTAAATATCATGACTATTAATTATTTTATTATTTAACACTGTTTAATATTGAACTGGTATAATTTATTTGATTTGTTTAGATTTACCTTCAGAATTAATTGTATCAGCTTGGTGTTTTGATGAAAATAATTTACAAAAAGATCATTCGTTTAATCAATATTCACCACCACCATCACCATCATCTAGTCATTCTTTAGAAAAATCTAGTAAAATCATGGGATTAAAACATATAAAAGAACCGATTTATGGTGTACAATTTCATCCAGAGGCATGGTTTGTCAAGATTGAATTATTTAATTATTTAATTATTTTGTCATTTTGTAAGAATAAATTTCAATTAATCTTTTAATTTCTATATTAAATATACATATGTATAGTCTATTTGCACAGAATATGGTTATAAAATAATAAAGAATTTTAACGAAATAACAAAAAAGTATCATGGAAAAAAGGTTACAGTGAATTTCAATTCCAACTAAAAGCATAATGTTAATAAATAATATTAACACTTTTAATAATTATCAGCAAGGATTAACATTTTCAAGACCAAAGCTTCCATATAATATTTCAGCACTTTCAGTAATTCCTTCCAATTTTTTTATTTTCAATCCAATAACAAGGATTAATAATAATAAACCAAAATATTATCTTGTAATGAAACAATTTCACGAGAATAAATGGTTAGATCCATACCTGGTGTTTAAAGAAATTGTCAGTAAGCACAATTCATTTGTAGGAAAATGGTGGTTAGATAATTCCATGGTATGTGTATATATATATATATACATATATACACACTTATATTATTAATAATTTCTTTCTTAACATTTTTAATTCAAAAAATTTTTTTTTGATTCAATAGCAACAAGATTCACAAAATGGATTTTCATTTATGGGTTCAACACCAAATTTTTCAAATACGTTTTCAGTGTCATATTCCACTTTAGAAAAAGATTTGAAAATACATTGCACAAATGGAAAAATTATTTCAAAAAAATTAGAAGAAAATCAAACATTTTGGGATTGGATGTCAAATGCAACAAGACTAATTAATCAAAATATTGGCATCACAAAAATATTAAAAAATAATGGATTACTTTATGATATCTTAAAATTAAAAAAAAAAGAGCATCTAATAATACCATTTGATTTCCGCTTAGGAATGGTTGGTTATTTTGGCTATGAAATGAAATGTGAATCTATGCCTGGTTATGTAAAGGTTGTTCCTAATGGTGTTGGCCCAAACAATAAATGTCCTGATTCAGCATTTATATTTTCAACATATGCAATAGTATTTGATCACTTAAAAAAAAGATTATGGTCAATTGGATTAATTAAAAATGATGATGGCAATTCATTGATAGATTATAATGAGTTGGAAGAAGAGTTGGGAATTTTCCCAGGACTTTCTCTTACTGACTTCTTATCATTGACAAAATCAATTGAAGAAAATTTAAATAATATAATTGCTCTAAAAAAACACCAAGAAGAAATACCAATTAATAAGAACCACTGCTGCCATCATAACAACAATAATAGTATTGATAATTGTTGTTATAATAATGTTTTTAATAATCATAAAGACAATAAAGATAACGTTTCTATTGATTTTACAAATTTCATTCCTGATATGAACTCAGATCAATATTTAAATACTATTGAAAAAGCAAAATCATTGATTTACGAAGGTCAAAGTTATGAATTATGCCTTACAACACAATTTCATACCAAGTTGCCAAATAAACTAAAAAATATTGATGATATTCTAGAGTTGTATTACTACATTAGATCAAATAATCCTGCTCCTTATTCAGCTTTTATTTATTTCAATAACTTAAGTTTATCAATATTAAGTTCGTCACCTGAAAAGTTCTTAGAAATAGATGATAAGGGAGTTATAGAGATGAAGCCAATAAAAGGTACAGTTGCAAAAGCAAATAAATGCTTTTGTGAAAAGAAGAAGACTAATGAAACAAAGGATCAATATTATGATAACAAATGTGATAACGAAGAGTGTTGTAAAATTAAAAGAAAGGAGGAGGATTTAAGAAGAATTTATATGCTAAAAAGAAATGTTAAAGAAAGAGCTGAAAATTTGATGGTTAGTTAATCGTGAAAGTAATTACATACATAAACTATATAGTAAATAATAATGATAAGCCATTTTTGATTTTTAGATTGTGGATTTAATACGTAATGACCTTTCACAAATATGTATTCCTAATACAGTCAAAGTACCATATTTGATGAAGGTAGAATCATATAAAAGTGTTCACCAACTTGTGACAACTGTTAAAGGAAATTTAAATAGAAATATAGATTATGTTAATGTCATCAAAAATTGCTTTCCTCCTGGTAAGATAACTTCTTTTTTTTTCTTCTTCCACTCTGGATTATTATTAACAATTTTTTATAATGTTTGTAGGATCAATGACTGGTGCTCCTAAATTACGTAGTGTACAATTACTTGAAAAATTAGAAAATTATACCCCAAGGGGTGTTTATTCTGGTTGTTTAGGTTATATTTCATTAAATGAGCCAAATAATCCTAATAACTGTGGAGGTGGTGCTCATTTTAGTGTTGTCATTAGAACAGTTATTATTTATGATGAAAAAGGTGTGTTAAAAAACTTTTTTCCAAATGTATTTTTTATATAATATAATAATAAATAATATGTAATATGTGCATGTATTTTTTTAGATATATCAGTTGGTGCTGGTGGTGCCATCATAGATCTTTCAAACCCAGAAACGGAGTGGCAAGAAGTTTTATTAAAATCACAATCCGTTATCCCAAGGTAAATAAAAAAGTTTGTTTTCTGAATAAAAAAAAATTTCAATTATTTTTTTACTAATAATAATAATAATAATAATAATAATAATAATAACTGTTATTATTATTTTAATTAGTGTCACATCTTTTATAAACCAAAAATACCATTAAATAATCTAATAATAGATACTTTAAATTTTCTTTTACAATTTAAATAATATTTTAATTTCAATATGCATGTTTAATTAATTGATAATACCTTATTTATATTAATTCCACAGCATAAATATATTTAATCATAGAATAAAATTCACATTAGATATTATAATAAATAAAATTTGTCATAAAGCCTTTTGTGATTTTACAAATGGAACTATTCTTACAATGAAAGATTAATTAGATGAGGTATATTTAATTTTTTTTTAAAATTATTACTTCATCCTCTTCCACATTTAGATAATAATAATAAAAATCCTATATATAATATTTTTACTTCTCAATGTAATGACAACAGCTAATAAGTAATATATGTTAATATCTATATATTGTCAATAATTAATATCGAATCACTTTGAAATTAAGAATTAATTTGTTTAACATTTCATGGTTTTTGTTTTTTACTACTACTATTATTATTATTATTATTATTATGGAATTTGATGATGACGATGATGATGGCGGTGATGATGATGATGATGACATGTTGGTAGTTGTTGTTGGCAGTAATGATGTTGGTTTTATTGCAGGAATATCCCATTTACTTGCATGTTTTTTACCTTTTGTAATTAAGTATTATTATTAAATTAATTAATTAGGATTTTTACCAATGATTTACTTTTACCTATATATTACTTTTGCTGCTTTCAATGATAATGATAATGATGCTGAAGTTACAGATGCAGTTGATGTTAATGTATATCCATAAGATTTTGAAGACTTTTCTGCTCTAGCTACTAAACTTTACATCACATGTTGAGCTTTTGATATACTTTGTTGCTGTTGATGTTGAGATTGATGTTGATAATGATGATGATGATGATGATGATGATGATGATGATGATGATGATGTAAAAGAAGAACTAACAACAAATGCTAAATTGTGATCTTTTTTGGATGTTCATCTGCAACTTTATTTTACAACCTAGTTTTTTACATGAGTGGCGTGAATGAATACGAGCATGAGATAATATTTGGATGATTCATGCCCGAAGAAATAATAAAGTATGATTATTTGATTGTTGTAATATTTACCATAAAAACGTGATCCCCGTACTGAAAAAAATGTTTAAAGTTCTATAATTTAAAATTTATTATAAATAACACATAATAGATAAAGTTGTAATTTAATAAAACAAAGTAAAATTTTTGTTCGCTGGCGCAGCAAGTAAAAACATAAGGAAGAAAACAAGAACCTGCCCTCCGCATCCTTTTGCTGTTGTCCTGAACATTCTTCATCTAAGCATTGCAAAAACAGTAACCTAATTAATTATGATTACAATCAATACACAGTGAGTCTCGGTATAGCGGATAATTTGGGCAATTAGAACAAAAATTTCAAAAATCCGTTATACCGAGATTAATTCAAGATTTAATTAGTAAATCCGTTAAACCGAGAGAATTTACTTATAGACGGTTCTGAGCTTTTATCCGTTAAACCGAGAGTTTTATTAGACATTCGCTATACCGAGGTCCGCTATACCGAGACTCACTGTGTAATATAATCAATAATTCGTGATACGTAGATAAAAATCTATATGTCGATCCGGGGGCAAAAATCGACGAATTGAAATACTTCTCTCAATATAACACGACAAAAATATTCCGCAAACAAAAATAATATGATTATTAGATACATTATAACCATAAAATTGCTTTACTTCAAAAAAAAATTTTTTTTTATTTAATAAAAAAAACAAATTTTACTATCGAATTTTGAAGTGAAAAAAAAATTTTTTTTGTGTAATTTGTGATGCAAATTTGGGACTTCAACCAATCAATTAAACCTAATTTTCAACACTGGGCATACCTTTTTATAGTAAATATTGACCCCGTTTTCTATTATAAACAAATGTGCCAATCATCTACTTCTATCACATATCACGAATTAAGATTTTTCTTTACAAAATATTATTAATATTAAATACGATTATGTAGTTATCTACTTATTGGACAAGTTGGGCATATTTAGAAATCATTAATAAATTTTTTTAAAAAAATTAGCAAAGAAAAATATGCATGATTTATAATTCACCTTTATCCCTAAGCAATATATTTTTTGGAGCATTAGTTGGTTATTTGGAAAATATAGCAAATAGTTAATTATATAGTAAGATAGAAAGAAATATATTATCGTTTCAAACATATACGAAAAAGGAAACTATTTAACGAAAAGACAATGATCAATTACTACGGCATGCCGTGCTGGACAAAAGTGTACTACATTTTGTTGCAATATTTCTTTACAACAAAAATATGGACCAGCATGGCGTGCCATAGAATATGCATGGATAAATAGCATTAACCTGCTTGGCAAGTTATTTCTTTGTCAATAAGGATATTAAATGGTATTCCAAATCATTTTTCAAAGTACATTCATTGGTCGGTCACGTAATTTTAGCTTGATTTTAATTATTTTAATTGGTAGGTTTTAATAGCCAATGATTGGATTTTAAATTTATATTTTAGACATTGTCTAGATAATTTAGTTTAGATAAATCTTTCTTATGAGCCGTAAAAGTAATGAGTGTTGAAGATCAATCCTTCGTTATAATTATAACATCGACGACATTGGAATATGATAAGAAGATCATTTGGGCGTGCTGTAACATAACCAAATAAAGTGAACTTTATGCCACAAAGAAAATCAAAAAGTTAGCAAATTAGCCAAAATTGTTTAACATCACAATTGTGATATTCCCTGTTATTCCTGTTATTATACTTTTGTTTTATGATGCATAAAACTGACTCTGGTTTTTATGTTATTGACGTTTTGCCTCTCCATCATGCAAGCAAACGTCCATTTCATCTTGAGAGAAGAATGAAATCTAAAAAATCCAATCCTTCACATGCTCTTGACAATTGTAATCATAATAACAATAATAAAAACAAATTGTTTCATTATCCAACAGACGAAGCTCAAATTAAGAGAACAGCCATACTTGAACAAAGACGTCTTAAGTTGGCTCGTCAATTTTCACACGTTAAAGATGTTCTCATAAAACAACATCAACGAGCCCTTCATGACTCTTCAGCTAAACGGTACCATATTCAAGAAACTTTGAGAATGGCTGAAAAAAATAGAAATACTATTCTTCAACGTTTGGTAGAACAATGTGCTCAAGAAGTCGCCAGGTGCAAAGAAGTTGCTCGTCAACAACAACTCAAGAATCAAAAAGATATCGATAGGCGTCGTGCTGATATGGAACGCCGTCAATGTGCTACTGCTGCTCGTCGTGCTAGACTTCTCACCGTTCCAAAATCACGTTTGCTCTCCAGTGATTATCCTAGTCCGCCCATTCGTGAAGAAGCTGCATCAGTAATTCAAAATGCTTGGCGTTATCATGAACTCATCAAACTCGTTAAAGATTATCATAACTTTGATATTTCACTTCATACCGTTGAAAATATGTCTTTTCAAAACGCTGTGCAATTATTACAGAAATCTGCTATTATTCAAATCGCTAATAAATTTCTACAGAAGGTCAGCAAGACTTCTCAAATGATCATGGAAACTGGTAAATATAAAAATCCTGCAAGAATTTTCTTAAGTGCTTACATAATTGTATCACACACAAAAGAAATCCTTGTTGATATTGGGTATTATGAAAAAGTATATTATTTAATTTAAATTGTTTTTCGTTTCTTGGAAAATTTATATAATATATATTTATATGTGTATGCAACGTATTCACTTCTATATATATATATATACATATTTTTAGGCTCTTTTTAAATCAGCTAAAGCTATGTTGAATTCATTAGAAACATGGTTCGACTCTATCAACAATGACAAATATAATAAAATCCGTTGTTATGGACTTATTAATAATTTTCTTTCGGCTTGGCATACTTACTACAGGGATTTCAATATATGGAAACCAAAAGATTCCAAAAAACTGGCAAACAATTTGATTGCACACTATACAGAATTGGAAAAATCACGTAACACAGGCAAGGTCAATATAAGCCATCAACAAAAAGAGATTAGAAGGAAGATTAGGGATTTAGGTGATGATGAAGTAACTGCTAAATTGGAAAGAGCACTTGGGCGTTTAAAAAAAAATTCCCAGATTGAGACAGGTAGTGGTAGTGGTGATATTGATACTTCTGATTCTATCAATAGTATGGCCACTGATCAAGAAAGTGACGAACAAGAAGATTGTGATAATAATAATTCAGGTGCTCCTCAAAGACAACCATTTGTTCCACCTAATATGTATGATAAAGCATCTAAAAAATCACCTGCCTTGGTAATTAAGTCAAGATCAGCCGCTGATAATGAATTTTCATCATCATCATCATCGTCGTCGTCGTCATCGTCATTACCTTCCATTAATTCTAATAATGGCAATGATACCTCCTCTTCATCCCCATCGTCGTTGAAATCTAATGTTAATGCAGAATTTCAGCGTATTATTCAAAGCTATGGAGTGCCAATCGAGGCAGCAGGATTGGCAAATGAACAACTTATTCATGAAATCATTATTGATCCTGGATTTGAGTTGAAACCATTGAAATTGACTGGATTGGAAGAAAGTATTAATCAAATGGCTAAAAAAGCTTATTTTGATTCTATAAAAGAAGATTTTGAAAAGGGTAAATTTATTCAATGGATACCCAATCTCTTAAACGACATTAAAAAGGTAAATTGTGCTTCTTTTGAAAATTAACACTATTATATCATAAATTTCAATATATATCATTATTTTTTTAATGAATTGTATAATTCATAACAGAAACTTATTGGATTGATGCCACCCAATTCACCAATGTATGCTTCTGTGGATGAAATACTTGACATTGAATTGATTACACAGCAAAGCAAAGCAGGTGTATACAATGTACGTGATTGCATTATGTTTATCACTGGCATGATGTTAAAAATCTGTGCACCAGTTCGTGATGAACAAATTCAATCGCTCCGAAATATGACTGAACTTTCAAAAATCTTCCAAAAAGTGTTGGAAATTCTGGACTTGATGAGGCTAGATCTTGCGAATTATCGTCTGAAAGCACTTAGACCTTATCTGAAAGAACATGCAGTTGATTATGAAAGACGTATATTTGAACAAGCTCTAAAATCAAATCGGTTTAGTCTTGAGCGAACAAAGGCTTGGCTACAACCAACCGTTGATTCACTTCTTTGCACAGTCGCTGAGCCTAACCCTAAAAATGATTTGTTGCCAAATCAACATGATCATGGTATTAAATTTGCTCAAGTTTATAATGAAGCTCTAGTCTCGTATATTTTCCAGCAAGTATTAATTGACAAAAACAATTGTCCTGAAACTTTCTTGTTGGATTTGGAAAGACTTTGGAATTTCCAGAATGAAGGACAAGCAATCACAATTGCAGCAGCATTGCTAATGTTAACCAAGAACATTGCTAATGGTTCCTCTGCCAACTCAATTAATGGGGAGAAACTCGAGACATTGAAGAATAATCTTTTTGTTTTGTTGATGGATCATAGCACGAAAATAGACAATTTGACAACTGAAATTTTATCACATTATCCACCGACTATTTCATTTGAAACCCAATCACTTATCAAATCCATGGTTTCTAAAACTCTTTCCCAGTCAGATAAAGTTTTCTCACTTCTTTCACGTAAAATCCAAACTATTATTAAGCAACATCTTCAAACAGGACAGTTTTCGAAAAAGGAAACTTTAGCCCAATATGGAATTCTTCCAGTTGCTAATGAATTGGAACAGCTCAGGTTTGTAATCTATCAATACATTAATGTGGATATTTATTTAATAACGACAATTAATGCTTTTATTTAAAAATTTTTTTTTATTTATAGTCGAAAGATTTTCATTCTGGCACTTTATAATCGAGAAATTTATGCTGTTTGGTATGATAATCTTATCAAAGAGCGATTGAATAAAGTTAGAAAATCAATTAATTAATAAAAAGAAGAAATTTCAACATAGACAAATAATCAATTTTCTTGCAACTTACAAACTTTTATTCTTTATTAGCTTTAAATTAGCCAGCTATATTTATTTATTTATTTATTTATTAAAACTAATATTTGTTGTTAATATTTTTTTATTCAATTGGTTGGAAATTAATATTGCATGTATAGAATTTTTTACTAATTAAATAGATATATAGTCAGTTATAAATATATAAAAAGAAACTTTATTTGATTATTTAACAATAAAAAATAATAATAAAATAAAAAATAAATAATTAATTAATAATAATTGATCGATTAATGTTAATCTTTTCTAATCGTTACTGGTAAGACCATCAACACCATCAGATTCACTTTCGTCGCCAGGTGGCTTAAATGGGGTCACCAACATCTCTGAAAATTCTTTAATATCAGCCGTACCACGTATTTCTTTTGTTAAAAGGGGCATTAACACAATATGAAAATCTTCATATAAATCATAAATCTGATCTAAATATCTTTGCTGCATTTTATGTCTAACTAGACATTGTTCACAATTGGAACCTATTATTATAAAAATAAAAAATGGAATTGAAAAAGATGTAAGGAAAAAAATAATAACAAAATATTTATTTTTAAAAAAGATTTGAATTAAGAATTTGACCTTTTCGTGGGAATAGTAATTGATTTACTACAATGTTGTGAGTGTCGATGTGATATGATGTTAATTCTTGAATCATACGTTCTGTTTCATAAAGAGATAAAAACTCGGAAATGCATACACAAATAAATGTTGTTTTATCCTATAAAAAAATTTATTTTAATCAATAAAAAATCGTTTTTTTGATTTTCAAGAAAATGTATAGTATTTTTAATCATTAAAAAAAACCATACAGGATCTTTGAATTGATTATTAACTTCTGTAATAATAGATCGCATTCCCTCAAGTTTTCCCAATAAATCTTCTTGATTAGGATTCAATCCCATCATTCCTGACATCTATTTATTTATTCATTTTTTTTTAAAATAATAATTTAGTATTCTATATATGTATGTGTATATAAAAAAATAAATGAACATTTTCATTTAATCTTTTTTACTTGTTGGAACATTGGACCAAATCGACCACTTAATTCTGAAATTTTTGCAAGAGCTTTTTCCAACACGCTAGGAAAACTTAGAAACCGTAAAGTATGACCAGTTGGTGCCGTATCAAAAATAATAGCTGAATATTCCATTGTTTTAACTTGTCTAGTAATTTATTATTATTATTATTATTATTGATAATTCAAATAATGTTATCAATTAAAATGCAAATATTTAAATTTTAATCGCTCAAAACCAATATTCAAAATGGTTAAACGACCGCTTGTATAATTACTTCATAACTTCTGCAAATCCCATTGCTTCATCTACACCAGGAATTACGAAAGCAAGATCTTGCATCATTGCTCCCATCGCACCTCCACCTTGTTGTTCAGCTAAAAAATAATAATTAAAATTATATATTATTATTTACATGATTTGATTTTTTTTTTTTTAGATCAATACATACATTGATCTAACATTTCTTGAATCGATGATGTAGGATCGATTTCCTAAAAAATAACAAACAAACAAATAAATAAATCAATTTATTATAGATTAGGTTTTTAAGTGTATTTTTATTATAATATACATTGTTATCTATTATGCTAAATCATGAAATAAATACCATGGCAAATAAATTTGTAAAGCCTTCAACTAAAGTCGCTTCTTTACTAAACTTTTGTCCAAAAGCATCACTCAAGTTATGGGCAGGATCGGTTGATATCAGTAAAACTGATTCTCTAACTTTACTTAATTGTACGGCAAGTGAGCATGATGTAGTAGTTTTACCTATAAAAAATATTTGTTGCAGATATTCAAAATTCGACATAGATCAAATTCACTAATATTAATAGAAAAAAAAATACTTTACCAACACCACCCTTTCCACCGACGAAAATCCAATGTAAAGATTGTTGATCTAAAACATTTTGAAGAGTGGGGTCATACTTTTCAAATTCTTCATCAGAATCCTGAGACATTGTCGATTATTAAACAATTCTAAAAAATAATTATATATAGTTTGTTTGATTAAAATTGAAATCAAATAATATTAATCAAATATGTAACACGAACCAAAATAAGGTTCTTATGTTGGTTGATCTTTGAAATATGAACTATAGCCCCCGAACCAATTTGGGTCAACTAATTTCCGGGTAAGTCAGGTCGGATCAACAAAGAAAAGAATTCGAGACAGGTTAGGTGATCACTACTCCCGAGCTCACTACGAAAGGAAATAACAAAATGATTGAATGATTTCACGTGTTTCATATATTTTCATGATACGCTTGATCCTATGTACTAAATTGTTCATGGCTATCTTAGATTTTTTACCAGGGTAATATTAAATCTGACATTTGATATTTTATTTTTTTAGAAATGATGTGGTTACCCATAAAAATATTCTAAGAATGGATGGACCATTTAAATACGCGGAATCCACCCGCGCATGTAACATTGAATTTCTGGAAACAGTTTCTAAATTTAAATGACGAAATTTCACAATTTTTGTACTTTTTAATCTAGATTTAATCTTCTTGAAACATAACATAAAAATATAATATTTTATTAATTAAGATTTACATAAACAAGGTATTTCATATTACCATTATTAATTAAACTATAAACTTTCTCTAAGTAATTTTATGGATTGATTTATTTCATTTAACCGTGTTTGTAAGGAATTTTTTAGATTTAACAAATTTCTAGATTCATTCTTTTGTTTTGTCAAATGACTATCTAATTTTTTCAAAGTGGTAGAAAGATCTTTTACATGTCTCATTTCGTTTTCATTTTCATTATTATTATCATCTTGTAGATTTCTGGACATGTCAATGATAGATTCTTTGTTTATGGCGTTGATTGAATTTTTTCTTGTATCTTTTAAAGTCAATAATGTATACTTCCATAATCTTAGCAAAGAAATCAAATCTAACTTGCCACCTTGGTATATATTTATATTCTCCTAAATAATATTAATAATACAAATGTTAATGATAATATGTGTGTGTGTGTAAGATCTAAAGCTGTATATAAATTACATACCAATTGAAATTGATTTTCCCATTTTTTAATTATTATTTCGGGAACTTTTAAATTAATATTATTACCATCCAATTTATATTTATTGGTATTATCATTGATAATATGATCAACACATTCTAGAAAGTATGCAATATAAATTTATTCATATTCTATCTATAATTTTCCTCACCACAAAAAAAATTTAAATTACCATGATAACTATCAGACTTCTTGATATAATCCAAACATATATTCCATAATGAACGAACTTCTTGCAAATATTCTTTTTTTATGGATTCAAGATCTTCAACTGAAACTATACCAAATACTTCAAATGAACTTGATCCTTTATATAATTCACTATATTTTTTCTCTAGTTCATTCTAAATTTATTTGAAATATTTGTTAATTGCAAACAATAATAATGGTGATATTTATGATAATTATAAATATTTACATTTTGATTTACTATATCCTTAAATTGCTGTGTAATATTATCAGCTAATGATTTCCATTGATCATGAATTGCCACTCTTTTTTGTGTATTGCTTAAAAATTTATCAGTTTGTATCTTAATATGCGACTATTTTCATTATTAAATATTTTTTCAAGATTAAAAATTTTTACTCTTATATTCCCCAAAATTAATTTATAGCATAAGACATAAATACCATTAATGTATTTTTCTGGAATTCTAGAGATTGTTCTTTAACTGACTCGAAATCAATCAAATGAGCTTGAATAAATTGAAAATATTTTATAAATATTTTTCTGCAAGTATTTTCTTAAATTCATTCAAATATTGAAAATATAATTTTTACCTTGAAATTCAGGAAATTCTTTTTTCAACTTTTCTTTTAAAACATAATTTGAAAACACCATCATCAATTTATAAAATCTATATTTGTTAATTAGATTAACAGTATAATATATAATGCTAAATACTACATAATAATCATATATGATTAACTAATTACCTATCATCATCACATTCATCAAACATAGATTTCCTTAACACAATATTATCACCACCAACAAAACATCTCTCTCTCCTTAATTGTTCCAACCATTTATAAGCCAAAGATCGAAACTCTCTACTATCTTCTAAACCTATTATCGGCCAGCATTTATAGAATTTCTAAAGTAAACAAATATTCAGGTAAATATTTATACATATATTTTTTAGCCAGTTAGTATAATCATTAAAGTCAATATGTAAACATGTAATTCTTACAGTTTCTGCTAATTCACTATCCAGCTCGTTAAATAGAAACCAAATGATAATTTCCATAGCTTTTACACTACTTGGACCTTGAGTAAACATATTTTGGTCGAATTTGATGACGGAATAAGATCCTGTTGCATGTATTGAAGGATTAAAGCCAAGTAATGTTATGTTTGTCCAAAATATTGCACGTGGACAAAAGGTTTTAGAAGATAAATTTTCAGGAATGGTAAATTCTGTCATTTTTAAATTATTATTATAGTAGTTTTGTTAATTTCTGGACGCGATTTTGTTGTTATTACTCATTGGCTGCATGTTGTGAAACATAACGTGCAAAAATATAAATGCGTGAAATGCAATAAAAAAATAAAATTTTTTTTTTTTTTTCAAGAAAAAAAATATTAAAAAATTAATAGAAGATGGATAATTTAACAGCGTTTCAAGAAGTTGATTTTACTTCGACAAATTCATTTGAAAATATTCAATATAATATAGACTCGGCACCTATACTAGTTCAAGATGAAAAATTGAAATATCAAAAAGAGTTGGCAGAACTATCTTTTTGTGAATATAAATCATTTAGTAATGCAAGTAATCATTTGCAAGTAATAAATAATTCGCTTGAAAATTTATCTTCACATCTAGAGAACTTAATTTCTAAAATTCCTAATTTTCAAAATCATTGTAATACTTTTCTAGAACAATCAAAACAATTCACACAGCAAAATAACAAGATTAATACAATTCTTGAAAATCATACTAATTTATTAGAAATCATAGAAATTCCTAAATTGATGGACGTTTGTTTCAAGAATGAACTTTACTCCGAGGCAATGGATCTTTCAGTGCATGTAACAAGATTAGTCTCAAAATATCCATCAATTCCTCTCATTCAACAAATTGATAATGACGTTAAAAACACAATACAACAGATGCTGACAAAACTTACCAAGTTATTAAGTCAACAGATCAAACTTCCTGTTTGTTTAAAAATTATTGGATACTTGAGACGCATGGATATGTTTGATGAGCCTGAGTTACGTCTTGTTTTTCTACTTTCTAGAGATACTTATTTGCAATCTTTGATTAGCGAATTGGATGTAGAAAAGAAAGATCCTATATTTTATTTAAAAAAATATATTGATGTGTTTAGAGAACATTTTTTTGACACGATAACACAATATCGTGCCATATTTTCCGAGGATAGCAGAGGTGGTGGTGTATATCCCACAACACCGACCCAATCCTCATTCTCGATACCTTCAACACCTTCGTCACCCTGGGCTTCATCACCTTGGATCTCATCACCATTAATAAGTACGCCGTCGGAAAATTCTTTTAACAAAAGGAGAATTACCACCGCCACCACCACCACTGCTATTTCAGATTATACTATCTATGTACTAGAACAACTAGCCGCAGTTCTAGCCGAATTTACAGCTCAAATATCTGACACCTCGTCACTTTCCTCAATACTTACACAATTGATGTATTGTGGAATGTCGTTAGGTAGAGTTGGCGTTGATTTTCGGCATCTTGTGTCGGGATATTTTGAGAGTTCTGTTGATAGAATTATCAAAAAAATGATTTTTGAGGCTACTCAAGATTTCTTGGATGATTTGAAACAAGCAATGAAAAATGTTGATTTGCCAAGCTTGTGGATGATAAGTGACAAGAAATTCACAAGTTTATCCGACTCATTTTCCTCATTAAAAATCACACCACCCACCACACCACCAACCTCTTCATTATCGTCGTCATCATTATCGTCATCATCACCATTCACACCCTTAGTTATATTATTAGACTATCCACCTATTGCATACCTTACGAATTCTTATTTGTCGACTTTTAATTCTTTACGTCTAGTTGCACCAGTTTCATTATTTAAACCACTTGGTAAATTTATCAATCAGAATTTTTTATCCATTGCAGAATCACTAAGAGATTATGGAAATTTGCTTGTTGAACATAAACACGATACCACGATTTTACAGGGATTCAATGCAACATTTGCTCAAAGTTTTGTACCATTTATATCTAGATGTTATATAGATGGAGTTTACGGTGGACTGTTGATTGATGGTGGTGATTATGAGGGGAAAAATTATGATGAGTTGATGCTGATTGATCAATTGAAAATCATTGATATCCTTAAAGATTTCATGCCAATACTTACTTTCTCTAGTAGTACTACTATTATTAGTAAAAATGATGATAATGATGATAGTGTCAAAGATAATGATAGTAATAATGTCGCTGATGATAATAATATTGATAGTAACATTTGTAATGATGATGATAATGATAATGGTGATAATGATAGCAATAATATTGCTGATGACAATAATAATAATGGTGATAATAATGATAATAAAGATATTGATATTGATATTGATATTGGTGATAGTAATGATAATGATAATTGTGATAATAATAATGCTGATGATGATGGTGGCAATAATGATAATGGTGATAATGATATTATTACTAATAATAATAATAATAACAAAGAACAAGTTAAATAGTTAACAATAATAATAGAAAAGAGGGAGAAGACGATGATAATAACAAATCGTAAATTCACAAAGCAATTATATGATAATAAATTACGTGTTTTTTTTTTTTTTTTGATAAAAAAGGGTGTACTTTATTTAACATTGAGAGATCAAATATATTATCTCCTCTAAATTATTTTAGGGTCCATGTAATGAATCATAACTTTAACAATTGAAAATAAAATGTAAAGATTTGAAGCAAGATATATATGTATAACATATAATATTTTATTATTAGTTTTTAATTTTTTACATCCTTTCTTATTTTATATATATTATTAGCTAGACAATTAAATCAAACCGTAGTATAAGCGATGTTAAAAATAGATATATCAATCCTATACCTTGTAATATTTATTCAACAATTTTTCACTAATATGTGAATAATATTCCAATTTACCGTCTTTAGATTTAACGTGAACTGAATAGAATGGATGTGGTATAATATCAATAATGATTGAATTTGGATCTTGCACACAAACATCAAATGTATCTCCCTAAATGTATGTTAATCGAGTAAGATGAGAAAGAAGAATCAATCGATAGATCGATCGATCAATTAAATAATCGTATGAATATATGTTACCTTGCGATGACTGTGATCAAGAGATTTGTCCTGTGCTAATTCAGGTTGTAATTTAATATGGTCACAATGTTCATCCAATGCTTCCTTTGATACTTTGTTAATTTAAAATCAAAATCAAAAACGTTACAAAAACTCAAATCTAAAAAATCAAACAAAAAGAAATTTTTTATAAATACTCAACTATTTCCAAATTGTACAATATATCCTTCACTTTTTTTAATATAAACTGAATAAGTTTCAAATTTATGTATGTCAGTAATATGGCCTCCTTCTTTCATGACCTTTTCAAATGTATCACCGGGATGATGTTCACGAAGATTCAATTTATCAGGTGTAATCTCTTTAGCTTCGTCAGTCTTGTATTTTTCGAAATTTTGCACCGAAATATTAGAAAATCTTGCTATTTGATTTGATGGTGTTCTCACGTGAACGCTTGTTAATAAATAAATAAATAAATAAATAAATCTTTTTTCCAGATCAAGAATTGTAAATATTTACGCGTAAGTTCCTCGTTTAGTTTTATGATAATCAATAATAACGCCATTGTTTTCCATTAATCTTGTAAATTTGGATTTTTTAGCTTCCGTACTTTCTGTTTGTTCTTCATTTTCGTCAGATAATTCTTCGATGTATGGTGTTTCGTGATATCTCTGTTCACTTTCTTTTTGTAGATTTTTCTCGTCACCGCCAAAACCATGAATTAGATTTTTAATAGGAAGGAATTTTTGAAGATACCGTTGATCCAAGTTGGGAAATAATTTTATAGTTCCATCTGGCATCTCAATGCGAATATGATAATGATCTTTGGCAAAATCACTCGGATCACACCCTACTATTTTACCGCCGCCATTATTGATTGCATCCTCTAAGCTTTTTAACATCATATCGATTGATTCGTTTAACATTTTGATGAGAAGAAAAGAGAAAGAAAGTATTTTTTTTTCTATATACATATTTAATTATATGTATATATTTAATTCAATGATAATGATATAACGATGACATATCTATTCAATCATAGCGAAAATCCATCATCTTCCCACGATATATATTTACCAATCACATTGGTAAATATCAAGATTAGTCATCAATCCGAACATTTGAAGAATTCTCAATAGCGAAAATTGTTTTATTTTACAATCCAACAATATGATTGTTTGTGATTTTTTATGTTTTGATGCAAACAGTTCGACTCGATCGGACACTTTTTTTTTCTTTTTCTTCTTCAATCTTTAAATTGTCATTGAATCATACAAACCCAAATATAAATATATAACCCAACTCTTTCTGATAAAGATGTAATGATAAGATTTCAACGAAACAATTGAATTCAAATCCTATCCTACAAATTATAAAAGAAGATTATGACGAGTTAACGATTTCATGTGTGCATACAGTAGTGTTTATTGTTGATAATAACATTAATATACAAAAATGATGATAAAATATTTATATTAATAAATTATATAAATTTACATAATTATTTTTTTCAAATGAGGTTTTTAAATAATAGTCTTTTAACCATCTAGAGAAAATAAAGAGGCAACTGTAGAGAAAAAGAACAAACCACCAAAGAACCAATATGTGCAATACTGATCACTCGGATCATAACGACGAGCCAAAGGCATCATGCTATGAAAGATGGTGTATAACAATGTTCCATTCACACTAGCAAACAAAAATCCAGATACTGCCGTATTCCAAAACGTGACAAACAACAAATAACCAAACACCGCGCCCAACAATTGTGAAAGCATACCAACTGATGATGCGATCATAAAAGATTTCCATGCTGATTTCGTTGAATAATATATTGGTAATGCAATCATAAATCCTTCGGGTATTTTACTACAAAAAAAAAAATCCCCATTTAAAATTTAAAATAATTTAAAAGCGAAAAATAAATTATATTAGGATATTTACTGGAATGCAAGTGCTATTCCGAACAATATACCGATACGAGCCGAAGTGATTGTTGTTGCAAATGTTGCTAAACCTTCGGGAAAATTACTGAAATAAATATCAAATTATTATACATAAATATATAAATATAGATTTATATGTATAAAATATTTTTAAATATGAAAAACTTACTGGACTGCTAGGGAGATAGCAATTTGAATACCAAGATTTTTTAATTTTTTTGCTTCATAAGGTTCGACTAAAATTGATTTAATTTTACTCTCACTTTTATCACCATCAACCTTTTCATCATTGTCATTATCAGCAGGAACTTGGATAGTTGTAGAATTTTTATTGTTAATAGTAGTATCATTACTATCATTATCATCATCAATCTTTTTATTTTGATTGACAAGACCTTTCTCAAAACAAGCACATAATCCATCTATTGCAAGATTATCATGCTCACTAACATCGCATCGACATTCAGTTGCTTTCGGATCACAACAACACACAATTTTTTGTTTTTTTCTTATGTATATTAAAGAAGATTTGAACAGCATAATAATCAAAACTGTCCCGATGAAAATAGAAACTGTCACCAAATAAGCGAATTTTTTATCAAACAACTTTGAATCAGCGAAATTATGAATAGCCTCGGTAAATAAATCACCTAGAGTAAGAAATAACAAGACACCGGATGAGAATGACAAGGAGCCAGCAAGGAACCCTTTTGAATTAGTGATGCGAAAATCTTTTAGAAATGGGATTAAGGGAAAAACCAAATCAAGAAATGGTATCATCGATCCCAGAGCTGATGAAAGCGCTGCCATCACAGTCAATCCAAATCCAAGTCCAACATTGCCACTTGCTAGTATACCATTATTTTGATTGTCATCAATGAATACAGAAGGTGCTTCCTTACCACTATTGGTGCTTCCCCCATCGCCGTCATCAATATCACCATGACCAATTACATAATTAGGGAAATAATAAAGGAAAATTGTAGTTGATAAAAAAATGTAATTTATAAATTTCATATTTTTTATGTTTTGAGTGCGCGAAAGTAAAAATATGGAGTATATTACTGAGAAAAAATAAAGTTTCGATTAAGAAAATATTTTGTGTGGAGAAAAAAAGAATTTTTTCCAAGAAAATTAATATGAATGACGGTTTTATTTATTTTTGTGCACTATAGGACAATGTTGCATTATTTATATAAAAAATGTCCAAATACATAATTATATGGATAGAAGAAATTCATGGCAAATAAAATGATTCGGGTAGATAAGGAATTATCAGCGAACTTTATTATGGTTTCAAGTTCTCGATTCTAGCCTTTTAGATAATTAGTTTATTTGGGAAGTTAAATTACTAATAAATGATATTTTGAATATAGACAAATTTCGGTGTTCTTTTATTAGATTCTTTCATTAATTAGCGGATGAATTTCGGTGAAAAATGGACTATATTAAGTAGAGTGAATTTTATCAGTTTTAATATTAATATATTCGAAACATTTCCTGGAATTAATTGAGTAAAGAAGTATTTTCAAAGGATATAATTTATATTATTATATGATAATTGAACCTTATCGTTACCGATCGAGTATTCTCGTGCAGAATGTAACCATGAATCTTGGAAATCATCGCTTCTTTTGGAATGTGTAGATTTACACGGCGCCACAAAAACATTGACTAATCCAATAACAAATAATAAACCTTATTGTTAATTAAATATTTGAATCTAGACTTCTTATGATTACGAAAAAACATATTGGTGTAACTTTATCTGAAGATTATCTGAACCTAATCTTTACTTGGATTGATATTATGCGAATGAATATAAATATAAATATGGTTATCATTATTATTTTCTTGTAAAAAGAAACATTAATAATTAATAATATAAAATAATTAAAAGTCAAATAATTATGAATTCTCTCAACGCCAACACAAGATACTCTTTTCTTTTTATGACTGTTTTATTTTTCGCAATCTTCATCTTCGGTTCTTATAATGAAGTTGATGCTCACTTTTCACTCGTGAATCCTCCACCTAGAGGTATTAATGAAAACAGTGCCACTGTTGCTCCTTGCGGTGGTTTTGATACCGTTAACGCCGCTAAAGCTACCGATTTTCCACTTAGTAAGTTTTTTTTTTTTTACCAAAAGAAATAATTATTACCAGTGTTATTGAGAATTATTGATTTTTTTAGAGGGCCTGGCTACAGCTCTTTTTGAAGATGGATTGGGAACCTTGTCGTTCAATTATAATAATATTTCAGTAGCAGGTGACATATCTATCATCTATATCTACATGTATCTTTATCTATATATTTTATTTATCATGATTTATATTATTATTACCGGTAATTATAGAAGTTCAAGACGTTAACGTTGAAACAACACCAAAGAACATTACATCAACAGTTGATCTTGCAAAAGCCAATGCAGCAATCGGCACTCAAGGTGTGCTCCAGGCTGTCTACAAGTCAACAGATGGCTTAATAACTTGGTACAGTTGTGCTGATATAAATGTTGTCGATTCAAAAAAAAGCAGTGCCACTAAATCTATGATCCAATTCTTTCAAAGTCCATCACTTCTCTTCACTTTCTCTTTTGTTGTCCTCTATTGTTGGGGTTTAAATTATTGATTTTGTAATGTGTGTATATATATATTATTAGATTAATTAAATAAAAAATGAAAATACAAGTTTTTTTCTAAAAAAAAAGTAACTAAAATCATGTGATGATTATTCGAACTTTCGGAAAAAATACACTAGTGCTAGTTTTCGAAATCAAAATGCCTCTAATACGATTTATTAATAGTTCATTTTTATCTTATTTACACTTCCTCTCGCTTAATTTCTAAGGTTCTATTGATTCTTTCAAGATTCTTTGTGGCATTTTCTTTATTCTTGTACAGTAATTCGTGCAGGAAAGCAAGTAAAGATGTTTTATTAACTTATTATTATTTATATTATTTTTTAGTCAAATTCGGAATTTGAGTTTCAGCACCATTTTTTTTTTAAAGATCATCATGTCAATCTTTCCTTTATCATGCTGATTGCAGTAATTCATACAATTCCATAATTAATCAAAGATAGTGTTCGGCTAGTTAAACAAGATTAAGATGCTTTGATTATCACAGATAAAAATGTTGATTTGACTAATGAATTGATCAAATGATTGAATCGGAAAGGTTTTTAACTTTGTATTGTGCGTGTATCATTATTGAAGGCGGAAAAGGATTTGCAGAGTCCGTAATAATGTTTCTCTTTTCTTTCATCCACTAGGAGCTTTGTATGACGACAACAACTATTTCTTTTGAAATCAATAGAAATGATAATAACATCAGAAAAATATATTTCATAGATAAAAGATAGAACTATGCCTTTATTCAAAATATAAAATTCCTTCAGATCACCTTTTGGTTAAATAATTAATTATTTCAGTTAGTTGATCGGTCAAATAACTTTTACATAGTATCAGTATTAGTACTAGGTGTCAATCTCTAATTTTAATATTAAGAACTTTTTTTTCTCGGATATATATTTGCGATAAACAACAAAAAAAATTAACCGTGGTGTATCGAATAAACTTGGCAACAAAGTGAACATGTTCTATTCCTGTTACTTATAGTAATCAGGATCAGAAATTTCTATTTTTGGTATTATTACATACATATGTAACAAAATGGCGTCCTCAGGAATTAAAAATTTGGTAAATTCGTTGATCAAAATTTATTTAATCTTACCCTCCGAGTAAGATTTACAAATCAAATTTTAAATTTTTGCAAGTGTTTAAAATGAAGGATTTGTATGATTATGTACATTGATGAAAATCAAGTAAAAACAAACATTGCCTTTAATGTGTAACGTTTTTAAATAATGTTTTTCTTTATTTATTATTATTAATTACTTTTTCATAATAAATTATGGTCCCTGAAACTTTTACAATACCTCCGATTATTAAATTACAACATTGAATATTAAAAAAAAAATCAGGGAGTTGCGGGTCTTTCAATCTTAAAAGAAGTAGAATTCCAGTATTCCCAATCACCCACAACCTTAGTATCTCCGAATAATTTTAAAGCTCTAAATTGTATATAATAATCACCATTTGGTATTTGTACACCATTAACAGCAGTGGTTGATGGAACGAAATGTCCATCATCACCAAAACTTCCTTCTATATAGTCACCTTCCCAACTTCTAACCAATGGACGAGTTTTTCTTGTTTTTTGTGACAAATCTATTTTCACCACTTATAAGAAAAGGATTGTCATTGTTTGTCAAAATGCCTAAAGGTTGGTATGTTGTTGAACTAAATATAATTACATAACATAGTACGGTAGGTGTTGAAAATACTACCTTCAATAGAGGAAGATTTTTAAATGTCATTGTAAATATATAGTTTGGTGGTAATATTGGATTTTGTGGAGCTTGAATATGAGGAAATTCTGGACTTTGAAATATTGGTAGATCTTTTGCTGAACTTGCTAAACCAGCTAAAAAATATTTTTTTATTTGTTTATTTAATTAAATTAAATTTTGGTTTTTAAAAATAGCAACAACAACAACAACAATAACAATAATAAAATATATTTACCATATGGAATTGTGATGTTACCATAATCGGTAATATTTGGTACAAATTTAATAAAGCCATTATAAAACCAATGACCTGCATCATTAATGGTTGGCGGTGTAATTTTTAGATTGATTGTGAGACTGCTTTGATTTGCAATTGTGAAAATATTAGGTTCAATTGTAATATTAGCAACCACATCACTGTAAACCAAATCTTTACTATCCAATATTGTTGTGCCATTATAACCATTTAGACTGTAAGAAGGTTCATGTATCACTATGAATGACACTTCCTGATATTCATTTAAACCTTTGACAGTTAAATTCTTTTCAATATAATTCAAATCCTTATTACTAATTCCATTTAATGTATCATTCAATGTTAATTTTGATGGTGATATCAATATTTTGCCTAGTATGGTATCAAAGACATTAACTAATCCTGTGCCTTGTTGTAAAACTGGTGAGACAACAGTTCCAGATGGAAATTTGAGTGGTCTAGCATAATTCATAAATGCATTTCTCACATCTAAAGTTGGTTGTTTTATACCAGTTGCTGATAAATATAATGCAACACATCCTGCAATGTATGGAGTTGCCTGTTTATTTTAGAAATTTTAAAAGTTTAGAAGTTTCAGATTTTGATCGATGATGTTAAATATTCAAGTGTTTTAATTACCATGCTTGTTCCTGAATTTAAACGATAACCACCAAAAGGTAAAGGGTATGTAGAAAACATTACTCCACCAGGCGCAACAATTTCCTATTACATTAAAGTAAAATGATAAATATATTTTTTATAAACTTTTTTTTTTTTTTTAAAAAAATAAAAAATAAAAAGATTTAATTAAAGTTTACTCACCGGCTAATTAAAGAAACATAACACATAAACATAAACATACATGTATATAATATTAGTAAATTATATATATATATATATATAATTATTATTATTATTAATTAAAGTTTACCTTAATATCTAGAGTAGGGGTTAATCCCCAAGAACTAAAGTATGAAATTACTGAACCAAAACTATTTTCTATAATATAACCTTTTTTATCAGAAAAATCTAAAGTCAATGGTTTATTAGTTACTGCTCTGTCTAACAAATGTTGAGCTTCAGTTAATAGAATATATGCAACTGGGTATTTAACTTCATCTTGAAATGGATCAAATATATCAGGTCCTGTAGTTGTATTATCAATAACAAAAGCACCTACAATTTTAGCTACTTGTAAATCTGTAAACTATTTTTTTTTAATGGTTAAAATTAAATATTTAAATAATTAATTATAATTATAATTATAATTATAATAATAAATAATAATTGATTTTAACGAGTTAATTACCAGTTGTGATACAATACATTGATTAATGTTTGCAGCATAGAGATTTAGAATTACTACTTTTCCTGTTAAAGTTTGAGCAGGAACATCTTTACAATTGTTTGAACTATCAAAGATTACTGTTTCTCCTTGATTAATATTAAAAGGTCTAGCATTACTTGTAATATAATCTATATTAAAAAATCAACACGATTTAGTATAATATCATTTTCAAATTACATTACTTAAAATATAATTTTTTTACCAATAATAAATGTAGGATCTTTAATATCAGTTGCTCTATAAACAAGAAAATTTTTAGCATCCATTGATGCAACAGAAATGGTACCATAACCAATTGCAGGCATAGCAGAATCCCATATACCACGAGTTCCTTCATTACCATTAGCAGCTATAACATTGATTCCTCGAGTTGCAATTGAATCTGCAATAACAGACATTGAAGTTTCTGCCCATCCTTCACCTCCCTAATAATAAACAAAACAATTTGTTAAATAACAAAATCAATAAATATTTACATTTAATTTATAAGACAAACCAAATAAACTTACTAAAGATAAATTTACTATGTCCATTTGATCAGTTGCAGCTGCTTCTAATGCAGCCATTATATTGTCAGCACTCCCTGTACCTTGACAATTCATGGATTTATAAGCACCAAAAGTAACATTAGGAGCAACACCCATAAATCCAGTTATTAGACTGTCATTAGCACCTATCAAACCAGCAACATGTGTACCATGACCATTACAAGTATCAAGTGGATCATTAACACTATTAAAGTTGGTTCCATCTATAACAAAATTATGCCCATATGCCACCCTACATCCTGTTCCATAACAACCTCCAAGTGCTGGATGTCTGTAATCAATTCCTAAACAAAATCATAATTATTAATTAGTTTTTTTTTTTTTTTTAAAAAAAATAATAATAGTAGTAATAATAATTTTGACTTTTTTTTTTTTTTTTTTTTTTTTTTACCTGTATCAACAATTCCAACTTTAATCCCAGTCCCAAAACTCAGAATCTCATTTTGTACACGATCAACACCAGTGACTTTATGTATCTCATTTATATTATTATTAGGAGCAAATTGGATTGTGTCATTGGTATTGTAATCACGTTTTTTAAGTTTATCATCAACAATATGACTAGGCCTGGGTACTATGTTAAGATTCTATGCAAATTTTTTTCACACAAAATTTTAAAATTATATACAACATATAGACGCATACATACAATGCAAGATATATATATAAATACATACTATAGGTTCAATATATGATACAACCGATATATCAGCAACCTTTTTCAAGCTATCAAGTCCACCAGGCAACAAAAATGATACGCCATTAATATAATCAAAGAATTCATGACGAACAGTGAAGTTTATACCCTTTTGATTTAATTCTTTAAAAAATTCTGTGTGTTCAGCAATTATTATATCAGAATTGTTATTATTTTTATTATTATTAGGAATAGTTTTTAAACATACATAATAAGCATCTTTTAGGACAGGTAATGTTGCAGGTCCTACTTTTATTATGCCAGAATTTACATGAATAGAAGTAATTTGTATGAAAAGGAAAAAAACTATCAAAAAAATGGAAAATTTCATAATGATAGTAGTAATAATAATGACAAGTAGTATGTTATTGTTGTAATTTTTTTTCAAACCTGCATCTTTTGGGAATAATCGATACTATAATGGCAATTCATTTATTTTTTATTTCTATTTTGAAAGAACTAAAATTGGTGCAACGGAAATTATTATTAATAAAAAACATTTCTACAAAAAAGGTTATTGCTGTTTCACGAAAGTAAAAGCGTTGTATAGAAATACGCGATATTCAATATTCAATGATGAATGATGATGATTGATGAATGCTGAATGTTGAGTATCTGAGGACTTATTTTTTTAAAAAAACGTAAAATTTTTGGGGAAGAGAGAGGTTAAGTTTGTTCTTTTTGAATATTTGGATTTTTATTCATGAGGATGATTGTCGTCTTGAAAAGGTAGGTTCGAATCCAACTAGAGTTGACTATGTAACTATTGCTATTATCCGTGTCAATGCTGTAGACTAGATGATTTGCTTTTTGCTAATCGTATCCAAAATCAAATAAATTTAGGGCACGAAATTGTACTTTAAAAAAAATCTGGCAATGTTGATTATTCCCAAATGGAACAAATAATTGATGATGATTCTGTTTTTTTTTTAATCCCAACTCTCGCCTTAAACCTAGGGTTTCTATTCGAATAAGAAAATTAATTCGAATAAGAAATTGATTCGAATAAGAAAAAATTGATTCGAATAAGGAAATTAATTCGAATAAAAAAATTAATTCGAATAAGGAAATGAATTCGAATAAGAAAATTAATATTAATATTAATATTAATTTTCTTTGATGATGGTAACACAAATTAAAATTTTGATCATTCTTATTGGTCAATTTAACGATCAGCAAAGTAAAAACAGTCAATCGACCAACTTTTAAAGAGGATTTACAAAAACCACAAGGACAACAACTGGATTTTTATGTATAGATTAATCGGCTGAATCTCAAAGATCATTTTCGTATTAGAAAGTGATGCCCCCCAGAAAAAATTTTTATATCAGAAAATTTTTATCGGTTATCAATAGCCGATTAACCGTTTAAGGGATAAACAAAAGCTAAGTGCCAAATACACAAATATGTGGATAGGGACCCTGGCCACAAGGTTGATCTTATCATTATAATAAAGGTTCGGATTTGAAATCCGTACATAATTTTTTTATAATAATAATAACAACAAACATGATTTTTGGAGTTTTGTACAATGAAAAAGTCTCAATATGTACAATAAAGTTTTTATAATGTATTGAAAAATCTATTTACAAATATCATTGTTTTTTGTATTTGTGTTTTTTTCTGTTTCTGTCAATTGAGCAAACCATTTGTCATCATTGCGCAATCCATCTTTTTTTGGTTTCTGATTGTTCATTTAACAATTTTCTATATTTTCTTTAATTAAAAATTAAAGTCTATAAATAATCAATCCCGTTTCAAATAATAGATAGCTTTTAAAAGTTTATTTTACAATTTATTTTAAAAAGGTAATAACTTTACAGAATCTGCCAAGAAAGCAATCAAAGAAATAAAAAATGGAGTTTTTCTCATGTTTATTTTATTAGAGAACCCGAAGTTGTCTCAAAATAAAAATTTGATTTTCAAATAATAATAATAATAACGATTTTATCTCCTCTATCTCTTCCTCATGATATAAATCTTATGTATGAACGTGAAGGAGAAATGTCAATTGGCGAATGTAGATGTTCTTCTCAATATAATTCTCGGGGTTAAAGCATTAATTAAAAATTGCACAGTCGTTCATTACATACGTATATGTATTTGATCGTTGAATTTAACAAATCAAGGGGATGATTAAAATTAAGATAAAAAGTGGATGGTTAAATTAACACAGTACCAAAGATAAGACTGGATAATAACAAATCATATTTTATTATAGAATTAGAATTAACAATAACAATTGACTAAAGTAAATATTCTCATTTTTATTATATAGTGCAAGTCACGTAAATCCTTCAAATCCTCCAAAAATGGAAATACCTAAATAAATCGTGTTTTTGAATCCTCTACAAAGTTACGATTTCATCTTGTTGATATGTCATGTTGTTGTGGAGGATTTGAGCTTCAAAGTTGCACAAGTTTGCCGAGTTTACTATTACACATAAAAAAAATTAAATACGAAACAAAATAAAAATTTGAATTTTTCCCTTACATCGCAGATCTTTTGTCACATGAATTTTCCAGATGAATGGAAAGAGAATTTATTCTTTATTTATATATATATATATAGAATACAACAAACAGCTAAATTCATTTATTCAAATTTAATAAATAGGATATTGCATTGATCAAAGAAACTTGCAAAACATATACCAAAAATATATTTCATAGAAGTACATTTCATCTCTATTGTTAATATCATTATTTAACTAGTAATAGTAATAATGAATGGTATATATTATTATTTCCAATTTACTAATTATGAAATGATCAAACAATTTTTATTGCATTTTTGATTGGAAATTTTTTCTCAAAATTGGCAGTGTAGAAAGTTGTGAGACAGGTGGCTTGCACCATACAACTTTCCTTTGTGGTAGCTTTAACAAAGAATCATTTGGCCTATCGATAAGGATTACCTTAAAACGTTAACCCAAAATTATTATTGTTAAATTAAAAAAAAATTTAGGGTTACCTACTTCAAACACCAATTTATCCATTCTGGTCATCTATCACTCTAATTCGATAAATAGAAGCATTTGCAATTGGATGCATGCATTTGAAATGAAAACCTTAAAAAAATCGAACATTTACATTTTTTCGGTAAATGCCAAAAGAATTATAATTGAGTAATTATATGATTACCTGGATTTCAGTAAATTAGGACAACCATTAACAAAAAGGAAAAAGAATTCTTTAAAAATTGCTCTTTATGATGAACGTGAAATAATAATGACCATGGTAATGATAATAATAAATTAAGTATGGTTCGTTCATCTATTTCTTGAACTTATCTTATTATTTACATATTAATATCAAGCGCCTTTAATATTTTAACAATCATATCATCTGATTGAATATTCCCATAATAGCAATACAGGTATTAATACTGATTATGTTACAACGGAAAATTTCTTTTTTAATTTTTGCCATTAATATTAAGAGACGGTGACACAGAACATCGGCCCAAACCATACAATTTGAATAATTTTCTAAAATAAATATGCCTATTATATTATATATATATATAGTAATAGCAATTTCTTTATGAAAATCATATTTAAGTTTCGATCTTCCAAAGTATTTCCTTACAAGTGCCTACAA